GACATTGTGGAAAGTGCTGGCTGCTTAGCCTTGTGGACAGAGCCTGAAGGGTGCTTACTGGCTCATACTGGCCACGTTTGGGGCCAGCAGCGCAGCTGGGCAGCCCTGCCTCTGTCCCGCACGGAGTGATGGATGCCCATGTGGGGATGTCAGCCCCGCTGGAAATCCAGGATGGGGCTGCTCCCAGGCACATGTCTGGCCTGACTCGCCCAACTCCCTGCCCGCTGCAGGTTGGAGCACTCTGGCTTGGTAAATTTTCTTTTTACAGTAAAATCACTCCAAGAAAAACACAACCTCAAGCTTCAAGCTCAACACCCAAAACACTGGTATAACAATTTTCTTTTTTACTGAGAAGCATTAAAAATGTTGTGCTGAGTCCACAACTAGTGAGTTAGGGTGTGGGTGAGTGAAGAGAAAGTCATTGTCTTTTGAGGGAACAAAGTACTTTCTGTCAATTTTCCTGTTAGTTGCTTGGATAGATGCAGGCGTCTTCCACAGATCTTCTGAGGTCTCCATGATTGCCTCGTCTATGGGTAATGTCAGATGTAGATTCTTTAACAATTGGTATTGTTTCTTCTGCACCTCTTGCAGGGAGACATTCTGGCTTGTCACTACTCTCTTGACTAGTTCTTGGAACTGTTTTAGATCGTCAATCGTTCCAGTGTCTGATGGTACTACGGCGTCTTCTGGTTGTGCATCAAGGGCATCAGAGTGTGTGACATTTACTGACGGAGTATCTGAGTCGTTGTCTGAGATTCGTTCCACCTCATCCTCCAAAAAACTTGCTGGAGGTAGGGGTTGTGGCCGAGGCAAACTTCTCCGGGATGCAGTGGAACGAGGTGGGGAGTGGTGTCCATATGGCTCCCAGTGTTCACCTTATCCACCGCAATGGGGACCGTGGGGAGGTGCGTAAGGCCAGCACGGGTGCCATGGGCCATGTTGTGGCGGAGCCCTATAATGGTGAGAGCGAGCCCTCCCAGGTAACGGATGTCACGAGGAATAGACCGTGTGGTGGTCATCATCAGGAAGGGGAGCATCGTGAAGAGACAACCGTGACATCGACCTGGGAGGGGATTGCCTTGATGGAGACCCCTCAGGAGAGTAAGAAGTAGAGGGCAGGCACAGATAATGATGCCTGCTGTATGGATCAGTCTCTTGTTGGGGCTAATCCCTAGAAGCCTCATCTGGCTGCTTGGCTGTGGGAGGACCAGCGGAGCATCAGCTGTTGCCAGAGGCTTCGGAGGCTGCCCATCGTTTTGCTGCGGTGCCGTGACTTTAAGAGGCACCACAGCTTTAAGCCATGGTGTAGCTTTCAGCGCTGCAGCGGCTTGAAGCAGCGCCGGGGCTGGAAGCGGTGCTGCACTTGCAAGCGGCACCATGGTTTGAAGCAGCGCCAGCTTTTCATGCCGTGCCGGCTGCTTAGAGTGCTCCCGGGGCCGCTCAGCTGTTGAGCGCCCCGATACCGGCGCAGAGTGGGAGGATCGCCTCGAAGCCTTAGTGGCAGGGGACTTCCCAGCCTGGTGTGCCTCTCCTCTATGTTTGGGAGAGGAAGAGGCTGGAAGAGAGCGGAATGGAGAGGCTCTGGGGCTCGGGGCATTTCTGGAAGG